GTGTATTTTGGAAAAAAAAAGCAAATTACAAAGTCACCCAGTCAGTGGAGAAAACTGAGTAAATTGATTCAGGCAGCTGATTTTGCAACCGCAGAAGAGAGTCCTGTCCAGCTGTTTTTCCCAGCTCAAGGGGTCCCCATTTATTTCGCAATTACTTTAAATGACTCATGAGAAACAAATCATGACAGTTAATACTTTTTAAAGCTTTATTATCTTTGACCAATGAAAAAGTCTTAAGTTATCTTTCATAGACTACAATAGACATTATATTTATAAAATCAATTTTTGATATCTTGTTAAAGACATCTTTACTCTTACCAACTGATTTAAACTAGCCCATTGTTAAGCTATATGAACCAAAAAGCATTTGGGCTGATATCATAATTGTATTCTTATCTACAAGACAATTTAGTAGAAATTTCGGAGGATAATATATTTGAAAATTATTGTACAAAAACATATATCATATACAACCTTTATGTTACCAAACTTTTAAACTTTTATTTGCAAGTCCCATTTAAACCTTGAACCTGTCATCCCTCATCCTGTCACATCTTTAAGTAAGCTTGACTATCTTCAAGATCCTATATAACCCTTTTTTAAGGAAAGCCCCCAAAGAGTCAGAATTTTGTAAGAGCAAAAATAAAAGTCTAAATGAAATTGAGGGCCTGTGATTTAGCTCAGAGGTCCTGGCACCTGCCTTGCAAGTGCAAGGACCAGAGTTCGATCCCTGGTACCAAAACAACAACAACAACAACAACAAAACAAAAAGAAATTGATATGAACTGAAAAATTCTTTTATGAAGCTGTTGTGGGTCCTTCAACCAGTTCAATTGGTCAAAGAAGAAACATAGAACACATAACACAATTACTTGTAAATAATATGTACTCAGATGTTTTGGCTATGTTGACATATTGGCCATCTGTTACAATTTTAGGTTTATAACTATAGAGAGTATTTGGAACTTTTCTAAGGGACTATCAATTTGCACCTTTTAGGCGAATCATTAACAACGATAAGATTTAGAAGGGGAAAGAGTGAAGAGCTCTTTATACTGTGAAAGCAAGGACTGTTTAAAGTCAGGTTAGGCTCATGGTTTATCTTAAGTTTAGAGTATCTCTCACCACAGTGCAGGCTTTTTGGGCCCTCTATATTAGAGATACTATAGTAAATTCCTTTAACAGTGGTCCTTCTGTATTGGAGATGTTATAATAGTAAGATGCTTTAAGATAGGGGAAGGGGAAGCAACAGGTAAGCTCCTTTTGAGTCTCAGCTTTCCTTCTCTGTAAGAGAGGCCTGAAGGAAAAGGCTTCTCCTTTTTGCCTCCCCTGCTCTGTGGGCCAGTTGCTAACCATGCTTGGTCAATGCATCATCCCATGAGGTTGCACCCAGGGTCTGATCCTCATAGTAAATAGGTGTGTTTGGATATATTAGCCCAGCCTCTGGGAGAAAGAGGCAGTGTTCAAGTGGCCACTTTCCAGAGAAGTAATAGTCCTATTCCTTGAGTCTGAAGGAAGTGGTTGAGACTGAATTTATATTGATCTCTGTAGTAGCCCACTTGACTAAAGCTTAATTAGCAAGCCAGCCCATCCCATCAATTGACTGAGAAGATAAGCATCTGTGAGGTGAATTCTGAAATTAGCTTCTCTGTGAACACTGGAAGAGATGTTGGACCAGAGCCCAACTCATTTCCAGTGTGTTGTAATGGGACCAAGGCTCTCCCTCAAACTTAATGCTACTTGAAAGATACCTTCCCTGGGAAACTCAGGTCACAAACTCTTTAAGTGTTGGCTCTATGAAAGGTAGAATGGAGTCCTGAACATGAGGAACATCAGGGACTGGGGAAGCTCAGAATATGGGCTAGGATCCTAATCTCATCCCTGGATAAGTAAACTTATCCAAATATATTGGAAGAAGAGGGGATCTGTCATACTAGTGGAAAGGGAAAAGCCCAAACCTGTGGCTCAACTCTTAATGGAGGGCTTATCAGAGGACTCTGATGAAGGCCCAGGTCAACCTGGAAAGAGGCTACCTGGAGAACACCAAGAGAGTTTACTTTTCACCTCATGGAGGACTACAAGCCGGGCATAATAGGCAAGTGGAGGTTTCTCTGCTGGATACCCATTCAGGCTGTCATGACCCAGTTTCAGTTACTGGAGGACCTTAGACCACTCAGAGTATTGAAATTGTCACACTAGTTTTTCCTAGTTCCATGCATCCAGATATCTGCCATAGAAACATAAAGTTCCCTGTGTACTCAACATACCCACTTTCCTGGAGGGTAGGAGTCCAGCTAGTGATTAACCAGGAGGTTGCTAGGGAAACCTATCCCATGTTTTAAGAGTGGCACCATTTTAATAGCTTTAAAATGGCAACAAGGTACCCATTTTTACTTAGAACATAAGGATAGAGAAAGAAAGTATATTCCATCTCCTGAAAGTAGATTTTTACCTAGGGTTCATAAAAAACTACATCATTAAAAGAATTAGAGATATAAGTTCAGAAAGAGAAATAAAATCACTTTATTGGAAAGGGTAGAGAAATGAGGAAGCAAAATTACTTTATTGGGGAAAGGAGAGAAAATATGTACGTAGATAGCTACCTTGTTGGAGTAAGGTAGGGAGCCCAGCTCTGGCACTGGCGGTTTTTGTTCTAAGCTTCTTTTATTACACGTTGAGAAAGGGACTATTTGCCTGGAGAGTTGTTATAACTTGATTGGCGATTTTGGGCTCTGATAACCCTGATTTGGTCATTGCCCCTTACATTCACTATATGTATATTATTGGATAAGCACTTTTGTATCTTTTTGTGCTGTCCAGGTGCTTATCTTGTGAGTTCTACAGCAAAGTTACATTCAAGGCTGAGTTAGTAAAAGGGATACTTGTGCATTTTAGTGTATCAATATGATTAGAATAATAAAATATATATGTACTTATATATGTGGGTCTGTGAATATCTAGGTATTAGTGTGTATTTTATATCCTAAGTGAGATTTTTAAAAATAATATAGCTTCCTCCCCACTTTATTTCTTTTTGTGTTTAATTGGAGGTAGAGTGAGGAGGGAATTGAGCCTTGGCATGAAGTGAGCCAGGTCTTTTTAGTAGCTCTCTCTGTTTGTTTTTCTTAGCTCTGTCTCTAGCGAGTATTTGACTCTTTATTTGCTATAAACTTCACTGAAGCCATTTTACTTTTCTTGCCTGTCCCCAACTTTTGCTACAGTTGTTCCACCACACATCTCTGTAGAGCTGTGCCCCATGTTGGGTGCTGAAGATGTAATCAATTTTCTTTCTGGGCTCTTGTTCTGAGAACAAGGAAGGATGAAGTTGATGGACAGCAGGAGTTAGGAAACAAAGAGACTAAAGTTTATTAGGGAAGAGAAAGAAAAGCTCTAGCTAGCCAAAAGGGTCTCCAAGTGAGGATGTTGAGAAGGTGACAAAGTTCAAGGATTTATATACACTTTGTTTGGCTATTTTTGTGGGCACTGAAAATTAGACAATGAAACAGTGCTGTTTCCACTTTTAACTGGGCTTCTAATATCAAGAGAAGTATATTTCCCTTTTACCCCCAGGGCTTAGTTCATTTTACCCTAGGCCCTTGCCCTTTGAAACAATGAGTTGCTGTTTTTAGCTAGGCCTCTGATGTTAGAATAGACGCTCCCCTGCCCGCTAGCTTCCTGGTTTCATTAGGTAAGTATATTATATTTATTAACCATTTGTATATTCTCTTTCATGAGTTGTCTATTTTTGTATGGTGTGATCATTTTCCTTTTGGGTTGTTGGTCTTCATTATTGATTTATTAGAGAAATTTGAGACCAGAATGGACAGTTTAGTGAGACCTTATCTCTAGATTAATTTGAAAAACAGCTGGAAATATATATCTCAGTGAAGAGAAATACTCCATTATATGTAAATACCATATTTTCTTTATCCATTCATCTGTTGATGGACATATAGGCCACTTCCAAGATTTATCTACTGTGAATTGTGCTGCTATAAACATATATGAATTATTACTGTAATATAATGTCTTTAACTCTTTTGAGAAGGTACCTAGAAAGAGAATAGTCAGGTCAAATAGAATTTCTATTTTTAGGTTTTTAAAAAAATTTTTAGTTTTCGTGCTGAGGATCAAACTCAGGACCTTGCACTTGCAAGGCAGGCATGGTGCTGCTAAGCTAAATCCCTAGCCCTATTTTTAGGGCCTATTTTTGAGGAATGTCTATACTGAAGGTCACATTTAAAAAATTTCAGTGAAGGTAGTTTCTCAAAAGTACAGCTAAATGTGATTTAATTTTATACCATTAAGTTTTTACATACTGAAATTCAAAATCATTCACCAAAAATAAAAGCTTTTTTCTGGCTGTGCCACCCTGATTTATTCCATTCATTATTTCTTCAGGCTAGGTCCATTGGTAAATACTCTTTTGAATAAGCAAAATATGTTCCCCTACCAGACACGGTCCTAACAAAGGCTGCCATTTGGTTAATGTATAAAATGCCCATGTGATACCTGTGTTGTCATAGATAGGGCTCTGTACAGGTAGGCAGACCACTTAACTTCTAGTTTCAGCCTGCCAGATCACTCTAGGACCTTGAACTCCACATTTATAAAGTAGGGCTAATTCTTTATTTGTAGAATGATTGTGGATATTTGTTTTACAAAAGGTGAGAAAATATGTAGCTCATTACAAAAAATGAATGCTCACAATTTTGAAGAAGACACTAAGTGATTTGAGGTCTTCCAAGTTTTGGGTAAAGTGGGGCTATGAGGAAATGGATTGAAGATAAAAACAGGTCTTCTAATTTTTCAAAGGACTTCATGAAGATGTCCCCTCTCCTCCTTCTTTAACTTGTAGTTTTACTTGTTCAAACTTTTTTATTACATGCCTAGAGCATGGATCTTTGTTGTTTTTTTTTTTCCTATTTTGTCTAAAAGAGATGAGGAAATTAGTCAGAATATTATGGTGTTGATCATTTCTCCTGTTTTCTTCTTTGCAGGTTACTCCTCTGCTGTTCAGAAATTTTCCCAGACATTGCAGTCATTTCAATTTAATTTTATCGGAGACACTCTTACTGATGATGAGATTAACATTGGTAAGTCTCAACTCCAGATGGCCTTGTGGCTTTCCTTGCAGGCCTGAGACTGTGGAGGCTCTGTACTTTGGGTGCAGAGCACCTGGATTGTTCACCGCTGTCGCCTGGAGCTAAATCCCTTAGGGAGGATAAGAAATCTTCCATGCCAGTTCCATTTCTGCCTCACACAAAAGCAATCAAGACATCTTGTAAACCTGTACTGAGGGCTTCTGACTCAGTCAATCTGCAGGAACTTTTCTTTAAACTGTCTAATACATGGATATGAGATACGTGATGTAAAAGAGAAATATTTTCATAATGGACAAAGGGTAATATGTTTATTTTCCAGAATGATTCAGCTTAAGATTCTTCTAAGGAACAAATTCCTCTAGAACATCCAAATTTAGCGTTTATCTCAGTATCAGTCTTTAGGCAACAGGAGTTTTGGAATCTCCCCTGGGATATAAATAAAATTTTAGTGGAACACAGCCGCACTTATTCCTTTAAGTATCATCTATATATATTTCTCACAGTACAACAGCAGCATTATCTAGCAGTGACAGTGACTAGTTGGCCCTGAAAGCCTAAAATATTTACTTCCTGACTTGTTAATAAAAAGTTACTGACCATTCAGTGAAAGAGTTAGTTTAAAGTTTCTGCCAGATGAGAACACTGAATCACAGAACTGTTATGAATGACCTAATTTTGTTGGAAAAAGTTGGTTATATAGTCATATTTATGACAATATAAACTAAAATATAAAAATGTATTAATAAATGCTCACTGTAATAAATTTGAATAATATGTAAAAGTGTAAAATAACTTACGATAGTAGAATATCCCTGCAGAACAACATATTGGATGTATTGGTATATTCATTTAAGTATTTTCCTAAACATGTATCTGTTTTTTTGTATGCAGTGTAGCTTGTACTAAATATCTTTTATCTTTTTAAACTAATATTTTATCATAAACCTAACATTTTATCATTCCTCATATCATTTAAAATTTTTTATAAGTTCCATGGGTGACAAGAAGGACACTGTTTTGTTCACTGCTGTTTCTCTAACACATAGGGTGCCTGACATATAATAGATGCTTAATACATGTTGGCTAAATGAATTAATAATGGATACATTTGTATTTCATTATTTTTTTTTGGGGGGGTTACTGGGGATCAAACTCAGGACCTTGTGCTTACAAGGCAAGCACAGTGCCACTGAGCTAAATCCCCAGCCCTGTATTTCATTATTATAGCAGCCATACTTTAATATTTAATTCCAGAAATTTACCTTATTTCTAATTGTTTACTATTATAAACAGTATTGCAATGAATATTTTTTGAGAGTACAGTTGTGAAGTAGATATTTGTATTCAGATTTTATCCTTATTGAGTTCATTCCATTCTACTTCTGGAAATACCCTGATCCAAAGGTATGACTTACTTAAAAGTTCCTGGAAAAACTGGTACAAGTTGACTTAGGATAGGATAGCATTTGGGGTTGTACTTTTTAGATTTCACATTACATGTGCAGAAGGCCTTTCCATAATGGAATTTTCAGTATGGCTCCAAGAGATAACTCAGTAACAGGAACTCCATTATAGGTACCAATGATCTCTGAGGTAGCAGTTATTCTAGAGGATGTGGGGGAATACCTACGGCTTTTCTGGAGTTCCTTCTTTTGATGATAAGCTCTAGAACCTATGTGGAATGATCTTGTGTGGAACACATAATGGAGTGAGAGCATCTCACTGCCAAGACCATGACATTTGTCACAGCTCTAGAGCAAAATATCCATGGTGTCCATTGGCATTGCATTGCTTTTCTCTACCTTTATTGCTCAGTAGCCAATGGAAATCTGTGGAGCTTATGTACTACCATATTGCTTTAGATTTGAGTTTTCTTTTTTAGCAATAAGATATTCTAATGTTATTGAATTTGTTGAGCCTCTGTTTTCCTCTTCTGTAAAGTGGGCAATGTAATCTATCTCACAGGTTTGTAAGGAGTAAATGGTAATTCATATGTGTATCAGAGAGTATATATAAAGGTAAATCATTTGGCTCAGTGTCTGGTATAGAGTTGGTACTCAATAACTCAGTCATTATTGATCCTATCAAGAAGTTGGTAGATGGCACTTTGTGGAAAAAGGCATTGATTTTTTTTATTCATTAAGTTTATCGGTACATTTTAGGTATACAATTTGAAGACATTCATCATTGGGAATTTGTACCTTAACATGATGTACCCTGTTTCTTATTTTTCCCCATTCCCCTGCACTCCCTTCAAGCCCCCCACCCTTCCCTATTTATAAAAACTTTGTTTCCATTTTTACCTTTTCTCATATTTATTCTCTTCTTCCTTTTCCCCTACCTCTCCCCCTTCCCCTTCCCCTTTGGAACTTTTTTCCTATTTCAAATTATTTATTATAAATTTTGATCCTTATTTACACTTTCAATTTCTCACACCAGCGAAACTATTTGGAATTTATACATATGTGTCCTATTTATTTCACTTAGGAATATGGCCTCAATGTGCATCCATTTAGCTATGAATGTCTCTAGTTTTTCGTTCTTTATGGCTGACTAGTATTCCATTTTATAAATAAAAACATGTTTTCCTTATCCAGTCTCCAGTTGATGGGCAAATGAGCAGTTTTCAAGTTTTAGCTATTATAAACTGTGCTGTTATGAATATGAGTGCACATATATCACTGTGGTATGATCCTTTTAATTCTTTTGGGAAGATACCCATCAGGGTAATAGCTGGATCAAATGGGACCTCTAATCTTAGTTCTTTGAGGTATATACATACTGATTTCCACAGTGGTTGCACCAGTCTATACTCCCAAGGTGTCAATTTGAAGTTATAATTCCCTAATCAACTATAAAATGAAAACATAAAATCATAAAATGATTACCGACAGAGAACTCAGAGAACCTGTAATTCAGTTATTTCTTATATTTATTTACTCGTATCACAATTACTAGGGAATCTTACAGACCATGAGTCCCAGAACTAGTTTTAGACTAAAAGAATCAAAATCTCGATAGTGGAGTCTAGGGCCCTAATTTCTACTGTCATCGAGCCACAGAATAGGGATTCAGGGACATTGAACAATGCGTCACTTGCCCTCTCTCTGTTAAAGGAGGCCAATAAGTAGACAGTCTCTTGAAATGCAATATGATAAATACTGAGGTAGAGGTAGCATATGGTAGCCATCAATCCAGATTGGGGTGTATGTGTTGTGGAAAGTACTGCACGTTTGCTTTCCATTACTCATTATCAGTAATAATGTTGAAAGCCTACCTTGGACATAAAGGTTTATCCACCTGTAGTCTGGATTATTTTTTTAGGCATGGTTTCCTAGAAATGACCATATGAGGTAAAGTATATAAATAATTTTAAGTCTTTCAATACGCATCATCAACTTTTATTCGAAATTTATGACACTTTGGGAAGACATTGCGTAACAGTGTTGGAAAAGTTACTTTCCCTTTCTTTTCCTCCCTTACTTTTCTTATCACTAAAATTGTAATGATAAATGATATAAAGCCTGAAGAATCCTTTTGCTTCTCACTTTTATTTAACCTTCTAATATTTCTTTCTTAATATTTTTCTAGGAGTAGTTAACTCTTGCTGGGGTTTCCTTTTAGTGTTCTAGAACTGCTAAACATTATTTAAGCATATTGAAGTCAGTTTTCTTATTTCATGCTTGTGGTGGTAGTGAGACATGTGTTATTGATGGTAGTGTTGGTTGTGTTTATACAGGCTTGTTTTCTTTCTTTTCTTAACCAGTTTTCTTTCACTATTATTCCTATCTGAATAGGGGACAAAAACTGAACTCTTTCTTCTTTCTCTTTAGTGACTATTCTTTCCCATAACACTCTAATGGATAATTGGATTATTTTCTTCCCATTAGCTCTAGAGAACCATTTGTAAGATTAGCTCTCAGAATGTGTTATAGTTATTCATGATATTTGGTTAAAAATGTATCAGTAAGGGATGGGGATTTAGCTCAGGGATTCCGCTTCCTGCCTCTCAAGTGCAAGGTCTCCAGTTCAATCCCTAGTACCAAAAATAAATAAGTAAATATATACATACATACATACATATACCAGTAAGATGCCTTATTAAATGTTATGACTCTTAAGTAAGGAAGAACTATTGTCCAAATCTTCTGCTCTTGCTTTTGAAACATTTTCAAAAAATGAATAAAAAAGAGGGAATATGAGAATAGGAATTGAATGGACAGAGAGAAGAATGTACTTTGGTTATGCCTGTGACACCTCATTATCTTAAACATGTAGGAAGAACATTAAAACATGGTTTCCTTCTGACTGACTATGCAGCTAGGTTTTTTTTTTTAATTAAAAAATTTTTTTTGTATTGGGGATTGAACTCAGGACCTTGCACTTGCCAGGCATGTGCAACGCCACTGAGCTACATCCCCAGCCCATGCAGCTAGCCTTTTGACCTTGGACAGTTAGTTCCAACCTCTGGGCTTCAGTTTCTTCATGGACGAAATGAGGTAGCTAGAGTAAGAAAGATGATTTCTAAAGAACTCTGAAACTTTTAACTAGTACATGAGCCGAATGCAAAAACTATCTTGACCTTTACTGGTACCATATGTGTCAGCAGTCTTTTGAAATCTTCTACTCAACAAATAAATAAAATTATAGGGCTTTTAGAGGTCAGACAGAGAACATAAAGTTCTTTTAGATGCCATAACTTAATTTTAAATTGATTCAATAATTTATGAAGCTCTTATGAACTGAAAATAATCATCAAAAAGCTCTGGCCAAATAACTTTATTAGGACCAGTGAAGAAATGACCTCCTAAAATCTGATCTTCCATAAAAGCAACAGAAACACTGATAAAAATTTTTAAAATCAACTTTTTAGTAGCTCTAGAAAATAACCAAAAGATCACAACAATACAAGGCATAGAAAATGGCTGAATAATTGGGATAACTGAGGTTTTACCTCACTATGTTCTCATTACCTTTTTTTTTCTGGCTCT